GGTGATCTCATCAGCTCCCAAAGCTTCAATTGTCAACTTCTATGCAGATGATTCCCAGATCTATATATGCTTCCTTAGTCTCTTTCCTAAGCCACAATCTGACATCTCCATGCCCTCTGGACAGCTCAAACATCCTGTAGATACCTTAAACTCAACATAACCAAAACAAGAATTTATCTTCACTCCCAGACCCTCCCTTTCCCCCAACTTCTGCATTATTACCGAGGACATCACCATTCTCCCAGTTACTCAGGTTCCTAATCTTGGTGTCAGCCTTGACTCCTCACTCTCATTCACTTCACATATACACTTTATTGCCTACTCTTGTCCTCTTTGCTTTCAAATCATAACCCTAGTTTAGGTGTTTATCTCCTTTCACTTGGACCATTGAAATGGCCTTCTAACTGGTTTCTCTGACTCAAGTCACTCCTCACTCACTCTCCTCACTCCAATTAGCTGCCAAAGTGATTTTTCTAAAGCGTAGGTTTGACTCTGTTACTCACTGAGCTTCAGTGGCTCCATATTACTTCTGGGACCAAATAGAAACTCCTTTAGTTGCCATTTAGAGTTCTTTACAATTCACTCCCTTTCTACCTTTCCAATCTTCATTAACCTCCACACACTCTACAATACAGCTACTTGCAGTTCCTTGAACATGACATTCCTCCCATTCTCCATGTTTTTGTACGGGTTGTACCCCAAGCCTGGAATGGTGTGTTTTCTCAGTTTTTCTGGCTTCCTTTAAGTTTCAGCTCAAAATTCATCTTCTGCTGTAGGATTTTCCTGGTCCCACCAGCTGTCAGGATGACTTTTCCTTTTAGATTGCTTTCATTCAACTTTGAATATATTTTGTATGTGCCTATTTACATGTTGTTTCCTCCATTAGAATATATGATTCTTCATACTATTTGCTCTCTCTGTCTTTTTTTTTTGTTTCTTCTTTCTTGTGGTTCCTCCCATTGGTTCTAATTCTTCTTTACAACATAACTAATGTGAAAATTTGGGGAGGGGAGAGAGGAGGAAGGGGGAAAATTTAGACCTCAAAATCTTATGGAAGTGAATGTTGAAAACTAAAAATAAACCAATTAATAAAAAAAAAAGAATGTATGCTTCTTGAAAGCAGGGACTGTTTTTAAAAAAAATTGTTTATTTTGGTTTGGCTGTTCTTAGCGTGGCATCTGATGTAGTAAGCTCTTAATAAATCCTTTTTGACTGACTCCCTGGATAAAGACACAGATGGCTTATTTATTGATTTCATAGCTGGAAGGGATGGGTAACACATTGGATGATAAAGTCAGGATCCAAAAAGATCTTGACAGCATAGAGAATTTGGATTAATCTAGTAAAATGAAATTCAGAAAGGATAAATGCAAAGTCTTATGCTTAGGTTAAAAAAATTGACTTCACAAACATAAGATATAGTATTGTGGGGAGGCGTGCTTTAGAAAGAAGTTTTTCTGAAAAAGACATAGAGAAATTAGTGCAAACTCAATAACAATGTCATAGAATAGCCAAAAAAAATTGATGTGATCTTGGTTTGCATGAAGAAACTTAACTCCCAGGAATAAGGAGGTGATAGTCCCATTGTGCCAGAATCAGACCACATATGGAACACCAAATCTGGGCACCACATTTAGGGTGGATGTAAATAAAATGGAAGACTTCGAGGGGAGAGCAGTCATGATGGTGAGGGACTCTGAGTTCATGCCATATGAGAATATCAGGAAAGATCTAGAGATGTTTAGCCTGGAGGAAAGAAGACTCAGGGGGATAGATTAGCTGATTAGATCTGTTCTCTTTGGCCTCAGGGGGCAGAACTAGGAACCATAAAGAGGCAAATTTAGGCTTGGTATAAGGAACAATTTCTTAGCAATGAGAGCTATTCAGATTGGAATGGGCTGCCTTGGAAAGAGGTCTTCAGCCAAAGACTGGCAGACCACTTGTTGAATAGTGTATAAAAGAAATTCTTTTTTCGGATGTGGGTTGTACTAGATGGTCTCTGAATTTTATTCCAACTTTGAAATCTGATTCTGTGGCCAGGTCAGAGACAATGGGTCTGTGATGGTTCTTGGAAAACATCTGGAAGAATAAATTCATAAGGCTCTTTACCTTTTCCGCCAGAGTCCCAGGACAATGGTTTAACAGAGAAGTGAGGAACTAAGGATTTGCCATGATTACTGAGACCTGAATACCATCACCTTTGGTGATCAGCAGCTCCCCTTCCTACTCTTGATTTCCTGCCAGTTGTCAGAGATGGCTGTAGTCACTGAATTGGAGTCTTGGGGCACATACAACCTGGTTCAGATATGAAGTGGTGAAGAATGGAAGATGGTTTTTCTGAACCTAGTATGGTCTATATCAGCTTTATATCATATAGATTAAGATTATTAATGGTCAATGTGGTTCTTCAGAGTTTCGTGAATTTGCTGTTTCAAGATCTCCTGTACTAAAAGTTGGGGTTTTATTTCTATTATATCTTATTTTATTCTTGGGATCCAACTGGTCCACACTGTCTTCCACGACAGTATCCATTTGAGAGGCTAAAGCTCCATAGCACAAAACAGGCAAGCATGCCATATGGATCCCCATAAAGTACACGTACTATGGTGGGAGACCTTTATCTGCCGCAGTTTCTTGTATTAGCATGGTTTAACACTGTTAACCAGGGGTCTGTGCTTTCCTCCCTCATCTAACTTTCCAGCAGATGCCCAGAGTAGAAGGCACATTCAGTTACCAACCCCCCCCAAAAAAACCCCACAACCCAAAACCTTTGTTCATTTCTGTTCCTGTCTTGAGGCAACTAGTTCATCGTAGTGGTTGATGCGGCCAACATTGCTATCTTCTCATGGACCACACTGCCCTTCTCTATGCCCCAGCCCTGTAGAAACTTCTTTTGAAAGCTGGCTGATGTCAGCCTGGGAAAAGGAACTACTTGCAAAGTCACATCTGAAGCATGGATGGACCAGTGCAAAAGGGCAGGGTATCTGATCATTGGCCACTATAACTACACAAACTTAGAGCCCCTTTAGAATACCTAGTGAGTCCATAAGTATCCTATCCACTGGACATGAGATTTCAGTATGTTTAACCTTGCTATAAACTCTCCCTCATTCCAATCAGGTAGATGTCCTTTCATTAAAACCTAAATCTGAACATCTGATGGATACATCACCTCAGCAGAGACGCTTGCAGCTTCTCTGAGGTTTTGGCACTGGTTTCTTGGTGCTGAGTCAAATTTACAAGCATAACGGCCATTCTTTAATTGACAAAGGATATGAAGGATACAAGTTTTCAGAGGAAAAAAATCAAAGATATCAATAGCCATATAAAATGCTCTAAATTACTAATAATTAGAGAAATGAAAATTAAAATAAATCTGAGGCACTACTTTATACCCATCAGATTCATTAAGATGACAAAAAAAGAAAATGACAAATACTGGAGCCGGTATAGGAAAATAGATATACTAATGCAATGTTGATGGAGATGTGAATTAGTCCAACCATTCTGGAAAGCAATTTGGAACTGTGGCCCCAAAGCACTAATTCATCTTTTCTGACTGGTTTGGTCTTCCTACACACCATACTTCTGGAATGTCCTTGTTTTGGGCCTGCTTTCTATTTCTGTCTGTTTCTCTCAGCTTTTCGTTCACTCTTTCTGACTTTCACTGACATCTCTGGCTCATCTAGCAGCTTTCAGCTATCTTTATCCAGCCCCTCTTCAACCACTTAATCCTGACATATTTTAATTAGGCTCCAATACTTGGAGGGGGTGGGTCTCAATATCATCTAAGTTCCTTTCCAGCTCTTTAAAAACCAGAGGAAGCTTTATTGACATGCATCACATGATGCTAAGAAGAGGAAAGGACCTTAGAGGTCGTCTGTCCAACCACTTCATTTTAAAGATAAGGAAACTGAGGTTCAGAGGGGCTAAGAAATTGCCCATGGTCACAGAGCCAGTTAGTGCCAGGACAGAACTAGAACTCAGGTCTCCTGGCTCCCAGTCTACTCCTTTTTCTCCAGATCACACAGTGGCTCTGTCATCAGTGGCTGGATAAGCTGTGCTGTAACTAGTCAGACTACAGACACTTGAAGGGACTAGATCTCTCTCGCTTTTTTATAGGCAATTGGGGTTAAGTGACTTGCCCAGGGTCACATAGCTAGTAAATGTCAAGTGTTTAGTCTGAGGCTGGATTTGAACTCAGGTCCTCCTGACTTCAGGGCCGGTGCTCTATCCACTGCACCACCTAGCTGCCCCGATCTCTTATTTTCTTAAACACACTTTGGTATCTGGCACATAGCAAGTGATCATCAAATGCTTATTGCTGACAATGACAGCATGTTATAGTTCCTCCCAAGTCATTTACTTTGACTTCCCTGACTATTCCTTTCTATAGAAGGGCCTTTTGTTTTCTGAGATAATTAGCAGGTGCACGTGCTTGTGGGATGAGGTCAATACACCTCCACTTATACCTGTTTTGGAACTGCTTTGGGCCACACACCATCTCCCAGGCCCTCTCCTGTAGTGTACTAGAAACACTTCTGGTCCAGAGCCTGAGAGTAACAGGGCTATGGTATCCATGTGGTGGGGATGGGGGTGGGATGAGTTTTCCAACCATCAGAAAAGTATAAATCTATAATCTGGATGTTGAATTCATCCTGTCCCTAAGATACATTTGTTGCTCAACCAGGAGACGGGCTAAATCTTTTAGGATGTACTCAACTAACTTGAGTGCAGTGGGTGAGGGAAGATGTATATTCCTTTACACTCTAGAATAAGCAAGGTATTCAAGCTACATTTTACAAATGCATCTGTTCAGGGTAAGAAAACCCTATGAAACTATGATTATATGATTTAGAAGTAACTTGGATAAAAATGCACAACAGACTCAGTACAATTTCTTTGATTTATACCTATGGATTATGCCTAAGGAATCAGGCTATTTCTGTGTTTCTCTCCCATTTCCTATGGGATGGGGGCCCACTGGGAGACTGCCTTACCTTCTGTTTTGATCCTCAAGGCTGTCCTGACCAGAGCAAACAATGTAGCATTGAACATAACAGTCCCATCACTGTTCAGAGGCATGTTCATGGAGACCAGACGCTGCAGGGAAAGGGAAAGACTGAAGCCTTTGGTCTTATTTTCTTCCCCCTGCCCTTCAAGAGTTATTTCTGAGGTTCTTTCCCTGTTGCCAGATCCACCATACCTGATATTGCCCATCTATTGAACTGTCTGAAATAAACAGTTCTCAAAAGACTCACTGAGCTATTATGACAGGACAAGTATAGGGCCCCACAGTTCTGGAGCATTATGGAGCTTAGTGAGTTCATTTAGACTTTTGTAAGCTCCTCAGATGAAGAGGGTATGTCCTTTTCCATCGTTATATCTCCAGGACACATCATGGTATCTGGCATATAGTGAGTACCTAATAAATTTTGTAGGACCAGATAGAATTAAATTAGTATGCAGATGTAGTCTTTTGTATCCACTCAACTCAATATTATTCAAGAGTATATAGTCTCTGTATTATATTATGTCTCCTCTGTCCTTCCATAGTCCTCTTCCCATTGGCCATTACTCAGCTAATGAGAAACTCATGAGTTAATGAGAACCTTAATTAAGAGTAGGAATAGGAAAAGGGAGAGGAAAGGAAACTCAAATGAGTCTTTCTAGCTTCTCTATGGACTGTACCATTGGTCATGGTGCTGCCACTGTTTATAGCCCCCATCTAAGCAGGGGATGTAGGGACTGGAAACCAAAAACCTGAGAAGAAACTCAATACTGTTCTTAAGTCTATGTAGGTTTAAAGAACAGAAGTGATATTCATAGGGATGGAATGAAACAGCTTAAGCTTTTGTGAAGGCATGAAGATGGACTAAATGACCTTTGCCTGCTTCTTTTGGCTTGAGGATTATATGGCTATGGTTGGACAGTTAACATCCTCAGTTAGGAGGCAGAAGAAAGAACCAAATTAGGAGATACTAACAGACCATATATCCCCAGAAGCCATCAAAAAGAGCTAAGGCATCCTATTTCAGGAAGCACATCTGGACTCTCAAATGAAGTCTTTGGGACTCTCATCAGGGTATGTCCCTCTCTTTGGTCTCAAGTTGGCCATCTGGGTAAAATGAGTGCAACGTGAGATTTTATCCTCATTCTATCTTTCTATTTTCCCATTATAGATCTTAAGAGTTGGAAGGGACACCAGAGGATCATTTCGGCCAATCCCCCTGTTTTGGCATATATGAAATCACATAATTAAGACCTATCAAGATTCAATTGTTTGCCAAAGGCTACACATCTGGTAAACATCTTGTCTCCCACCTTTTCTCTCTTCTCACATTCTCCAATTGTATCTTCCTTTTTACACCTACAGATGTGGGCATTCTTCCTCCCTATCCTTACCCCAGTCATACTTACTTTGCATGCTACTCGATGAGGGCACAGCTTTCCAAACCCTAGTGGGGGTTGGATCCTTCGGAGTAAGGTCACTACATCCAGGTGTTTGATACGGCCCCTGGAAGATGAAGAGAAGGGAATGGTCAGGAGGGCACAGTCCCCACCTCCACTCACTCCTCCCTCAACCCCCAACCTTTCAGAAGCTTCATCACATGGTAGCCTAGGCCTCCAGGGGAAAGTGCTATAGAGTTGCCTCTCAGCTGGCCAAGGTTTTTTTCACAATCAAAGACTAGCATGTGATACTCTACTGTCAATGGTTGCATGCTAAAGATTCAAATACAATTTGACCATCACTCCAATGTTTTAAAGTAAAGGGGTTTTAACAGTGTAACTCAAATTCTTATTGATTCAATCAAGTGATCTACAAGTATTTACTGAATGCCTACTGTGTGTGATTTATTGTCCATGACTGAAGTATTTTTGGACTGGTGGATGATGTAATGTAAAGCACACTGGAGGTAGAGTCAAAAATCCTGGGGTCAAGTTTTGTCTCTGATACTTACTAACTGTGTGACCATGGGCATGTCATTTAACCTCTCTGTCTGTCTTGGTTGATCCCCATCAACAAAATTGGAATAATGACACTCAGATGACTTAGGCACTATAGGGTTGTGAGGAAAGTGCTTTCTGAATCATACTTCATTATTTCAAGGGTCTGCAATTTTGTCAGTGGGAACTCTCCCCTGTTGTGCATCGCGATCCCTGGCTTACTTGAGGGTCCTTGAGAGTTATTGCGACTAAAAAATTCATCCCCCTATGGCCAAGATAGAGATAAAGCACTCTGAATTTTGCTAAGCTGGTGTGGAAAGAATGCTTAATTATATAGTTCATAAAAATTATTATACTGTTTAAATCCAACTTTATGTGATTAGAGGTTGCTTGTACCCAGAATGTTGCCTGACCTCAGCAACTCTCTAGGAATGCTAGAGATAGCCATAAGGAATTTTGGGTCCTAGATCCACCCAAAGCATTGTTGATTGGGACATCCACATGGAGGACTTGTTTTTGATCCACCCAAGTTTGTGTTCTGGGTTCCTTTGATGTGATTTGTGTGTGACTCATGTGTGATACATTTGTCAGATGATTTATGTGTGACTTTGTCGAATCTGATATAATGTAAACCTTTCAGAACTTGGAAGAGGGAGCCACCCCTTTCCCACTCTCTCTCTCCATCAAGTGACCTAATCAATTTCTTTCTAAAACTATTTCAGGTTCATGAACAACACTGGTCTTCAGACAAGAAACCTATAGGCTGTTCCCAGGTCTGTATTCAAAGCCTTTCCAATTTGGAAGACCTTCCAGAGGTGATGCTCTATTGGCATTGCTTTCAAGAGCCCCAGATCACCTTAATTTATTGGTGAGGTATCAGGGGAGGACTTTTTGTGTAGGTTATAAATCATAAAGTGATATGTAAATGTGAACTTTATTAATTATTATAGTCCTGAGATTTTCTTAACATGACTAGTCTTAGCTTCTTTCTTTGTTTCTTTTCTTGTTTCTTTCTTTGCTTTTCTTCCTTCCTCTCTCTCTCTTTTTTCTTTCTTCCTTCTTTCCTTCTCTCCCTCCCTCCCTCCCTTCTTTCCCATCTCATCATCCTCTCCCCCTCCTCCTCCTCCTCCTCCCTCTCCCTTCTTCTCCTGCAACTGAACACTGAAGCCTGAGTTGAAAGCCTCCCATCCCAAGGTAATTTTCCCCTAGCCAATACTTGTACCACACTCTCTGCAACTTCAGTATGGCCCTGTCTGTTACTGTAAATACTAGTGGACATACGTCACAAACTGTCTTTCTGTGCACTTACTTGGCTTCGGGGTCATATTCTGCCCAGATCCTTTTGAACTCATCCAAGTGATGGGGACCTAGGATGGACCAGTCTCTTGTCAGGTAGTCGAAGTTGTCCATGATGACGGCTACAAAGAGGTTGATGATCTGCAGAAGGTACAAGGAGAGGGCGGTCAGTGACCCCACCTGTTCACTCCTGCCATGGTTATGCCAAGGACATAGTTCTCTGTTACAAGGCAAGGGATGGGAGAGCATAAACATGCAGTCCTGCTGTCTGGGCCCCTGAAGTGCTTCTTTTCCTTTTAGCAGAGTTTATCAGTTGATCTTTCTTGGTGGCAGAAGTAAAGATTTCAAAAAACTATCTGGTATCAGGAAACAATTGTTCAAAACCTTGACCCCTGCAATTTGAATGTTGGTGGAAATATTAGTCTTGCAAGGAAGCCATGTAGCAGGCTATAAAGTCAAACTACTAGCCAGTGTTCAGAGGCTACGGGGAATTCTCTCCAATAAGTAAGCAAAGTACAAAAAAGTAGTTTTATAAAGGTCAGCAGGTAAATGCTCCACTGTTTTTGTGGGTCCCAGAATCTTGGAAGAGATCATAGATAGCATCTAGTTCAATCCCTGTCTGAAGCTTCTAGTCCAACATCCTCTGTAAGGAGTCTTTCTGCCTCTGCCTAAATATTTCACGTTGGAGAACTTACTACCTAATGAGTCAGCTTATTTCTAGTAAACTTAGAGTCATGAGACCCGAATTCAAATCCCAGCTCTAGCATTTCCTACTTATATCATCTAGAGCAGGCCATTTAACCTCTCTAGGCCTCAGTTTCCTCATCTGTAAAATGATGGGGTTGGATTAAATAATTTCTAAGGGCCTTTTTAGTTTAGATCCATTTTTCTGATTGTCAGAAATTGCTCCTCTATACTCAATCAAAATCTGTCCACTTGTAATTCTTGCTCACATGGGTGATGCCACCAACAGTCAAGAAGGAAAATGTGTACCATTTGGGTAGCTTGAGCTTCTGGCCATGGGCATAACTCTGAATTTCTTACTGTCTTTGGACAAGCTTGTTCTGGCTTTGTCTTCCTAAGCCAGGTCCCTCTGTGGCCGGGATCTCCCTGACCAGGGCTCCTCTGAGGCCTAGCCACCCTGAGGGCTTGGGTAACTCTAGAGCAAAATGTTCACTTCCTTAGCCTTGGCCAGATTGGGGCAGAGGTGGGGTGAGGGTCCGGAGAAGGTTTACTTTCGGAATTAGCTTACCAGGAAGGCACAGAGCATGTAGAAACTGATAAAATAGAAGACAGCAAAGCTGCTGCCACAGAGTGTCTCTGGTTCAGTACTATTACTTGGCTCAGACTCAGGGGCACACTTCTTTCCTGGCAGACAGGCTAGCATGATATCTTGCCATGCCTCCCCTGTAGCACACCTATGTGGGGAGAAGAGAGATAAGGCAGAATCAAAACTGGGACTAGAACACGGCAGTGGCATTGCCAATAACACTATCAGCTGTACTTTGTGATATGGGAGCTGGTCAGGTTCAGGAGGAAGAGATATACATTTTTTTTAATGAGAAAGAGTAATGCCTGTAATTAAGAAATTCAGCTGGAATTATATAAACAAGCAAATCAAACAATGAATGATTACTACTAAAAGTCCCAGAGCCAAAGGAAAAAAAAAAGCTATTATATTATGTCATCATTATATTCACAAGTCACAATAATTATAGTATTATCAATAGGTTCAACTTTGAAATTTGTGAAATATGAACTTTCTATGTACTTCAATTTGAGGGACATTCAAAAGATACTCTCAACCATTGGCCTAATATACTGCTTTAAATTACATCATTAGATACTCGTTCCTTTAGTTCTAGGCATGGTCTCTCCAATGCAAATACTCCTGAGGGTAGATAACATTAAAATTCGTCTTAGTAAGAATCAGTTTAGTAATCATAATTATGAATGTGATATATAAATGTAATGGAATACTATTATGGTATAAGAAATGATGAACAGGGGGGCAGCTAGGTGGCGCAGTGGATAGAGCACTGGCCCTGGATTCAGGAGGACCTGAGTTCAAATCTGCCCTGAGACACATAACACTTACTAGCTGTGTGGCCCTGGGCAAGTCACTTAACCCCCATTGCCCAACCCAAAAAAAAAAAGAAATGATGAACAGGCAGACTTCAGGCAGACTTCAGATAAACCTGGAAAGACTTGTATGGTTTGATGCTGAGTGAAGTAAGCAGAACCAGGAGAACATTGTACACAGTAACAGCCACATTGAGTGATGACTGACTTTGATAGACTTAACCCCTCTCAGCAATACAAGGATCTAAGACATCTCCAAAACCCTCATGATGGATCCACATCCAGAGAAAGAACTATGGAGTTTGAATGCAGATCAAAGCATACTATTTGCTATTTTTTTTTCTTCTGTTGTGTTTTGTTTCCTCTTTCTGGTGGTTCTTCCTATTAGTTCTTTTTTGTTTTGGCTAGGCAATGGGGTTAAGTGACTTGCCCAGGGTCACACAGCTAGTAAGTGTCAAGTATTTGGTCTGAGGTTAGAATTTGAACTCAAGTCCTCCTGAATCCAGGGACGGTGCTCTATCCACGGTGCCACCTAGCTGCCCCCTATTAGTTCTAATTCTTCCTTACAACATGACTAATGTGAAAATATGTTTAATAGGAATGCATATGTATAGCCTATATTAGATTGTGTGCCGTCTTGGGGAAAGAGGTAGGGAGTGAAGGGGAGAAAAATTTAAAACTCAAAAGCTTACAGAAGTGATTGTTGATAAATTAAAATAAATTAATAATAAAAAAAGAATGAGTTTATTGAATTTTGTGTCTTGGAGGAGACTTGATGAGTTGTTGAATCACTAAGTGAATGTTGAGTCATTGAGTACTAGAGAGTTCTGACGTAAGGAATATATGGTGAGAAAAATGGAGGACTGTAGTAGGAGACTAAAGACTGAGTGGAGGTGGATGGGTATGAAAGGAGCAAAAAGACTCTTACTGTTTAAAAAAAATAAAGCAGAAACAAATACCTAGGTTTTAGATCTAAAAGCATCATCATGACTGGTTCTGTAAAGGGAGGCACATCGTGAATTTTGCTTGAGAGCTAATGTTGAGTAGGGGGAGCTGACAATAAGACTCAGGATCCCAGTTCTTGATTGGATAAAGGCTGGAGCTTATTGGAAGAGGGTTTTAGTCTCATTTATTGCCCTTTACCGACACCTAGAGTTTAAGAGAGATGCTGCTGCTCAGAAATATCTGTCCAAGGGAAGGAGGTTTTTACAGTTGCATTGCCCAATACGAAGAGATGAAGAGATCTAGAATCCTGATAAGTTTGCAAGGTTTGTTTGCCTTGTCCAGAAGGTCTCCCTGAGCTCTTTTTTTGTGAGCTTTGTTTCCTACAACCTGATTAGATGATGTAGCATCCTGGTCAGTGAATAGCTCTGTCTGAACTTGTATTGCCCACAGAGAGCCAGCCTGAGGAGCCTGGGGGGTTCTCTGGCTTAAAGGGAACTGCTAGATAAATTAAGAATGAAACACTATTCTGATACCCTTTTAATAATCAGTGTAACTTAAAAGAGTTTGTGAATGTTTTGTTGGTTGGAGAATAAAAGAAATGAGGATTTGCCCAGCTGGAATGGTAAGGACCAATAAACAAGCAGCTAGCACAGACATAGCTTCATGTGGTACCCATGTTCCAGAATGGACTGATGACATCCGAGTCTGGAGTCTAGGGTTGTGTTACCCTGAGCAGATGGGTTTTCCTCACTCATATTCTCCCTGCCAGTGTGTGTGTGTGTGTGTGTGTGTGTGTGTGTGTGTGTGTGTATCTCCTTTTCCCTATAGATACTGTGCCTTGCTAGGAAAGTATGACTCAGATTTATGTGTAAATTATAACCATGATTCCTACATTTAATAGATAAGTAGCTCTGGTGTTATCATTTCTTTTGCCTCATTGCTAAGCAAATAGGTTTATTATCTAAATGTATCATCAAGACTGATTATGTAAACAGAAGCACATTGGTGGTTTAGCTTGAGAGCTAGTGTTGAGTAGGGGAAGTGTGTTCCCTCACAATAGCGTTATCCTAGGACACTGAGACAGTCTGAGTGAACAATGTGATGGTGGTCTTTTTAAGAACCTAAGATCTGCCATTGAGCAATCTGTCATTGAGTGAATGAGAAAGCCTAGAGGATGAAGAGGTATCTACGTACCCTGTGTGAGAGTTATGAGACACTACAGAATAGGTGGCATTACAACTAGGGTTCATGTTTTGCATGGCATGAATGTCAATAAGAATACAAGGGCATAAAGTAAGACCAGAGCAGGAATAATGGGCAAGCAGAACAGGAATATGAGAAGGGAGTGAAAGTTGAAGTGAAGATGGAAGACTGAAAGAGAAATGGATGGACAGGAGGTTATGATTGGAGAGAGGAGTTTCAGAGTTCAAGATCATAGCTTGATGTTGAGGTTTTAGATGTGACAATCTCTGTGAGTTTCTGAGTTGGAATGTGGATATAAGTAGCCCATTTTTGGCCACATACATGGGGGAGTGACTTGAGAGATGCTGGACTCAGGTGCTTGCCATGCTGGTTGGAGTGTTCTTCCCCCCACCCCCTTAAAAAACAAATAAACAAACAAACCGAGAGTGCTGCAAATTTTTGAGGTTCTTCCTCTGACCTTAGGTTTTAAAGGAGCTTAGAGGAGGAAGCTAGAAGGGAGAAGCAGGAACCAGAAAAGCAAGAAGCAAGACTCTATCACAAGAAAGCAGAGAGCCATGGAAGGCTAAGGTGGCGCTATAATGAGTGACTGCAGTAATACCTGATCCAGGAAGGAAAGGATGACCCAAGCATGAGATATGTCCTGGGTGAAATATGATTGATCCTGTACCAGGAAGACAGCTCTTACCTCACTTCTTCCCTCTCTCCAGGAAGAGGCATAAATGTATTATGAATTATCCACTCCAAACTTTCTGCTTCCCCCTGAGCTTATGAAGCATTAGCATTTGTTCTTAATACACATGTTTACTTCTAAGCCTTTAAATGTGATTAAACTGTTGGTCAATATAAACCCAAACTGTCTTTTGTATTTTTACTCAAGACTTACTGTATGTGAGGGAGGGGGAATTCCCTGATTTAGAGATTTTGGTTCAGTTATGGTGGGGAGAGGGGCTGAACCTGGGGTTTGGAGCTACATATTTAATACAGATGAATTTAATGGATTTTTAAAATAAGTGCCCCAGAAAGGGATTTGCTAGGGAAGCTCCAGCCACAGGAATGGATGAGGGAATGAATTCACTCATGTATGAAGATCATTCTTCTGGTGGGATGTGATTCACATCTGAACCTGCCTTATTCTCTAATGCCATCTGGTGGTTTTAAAATATTTATAGCTGCATTCCTGAGTTACCCACCTGAAGAGTAGCAGCACAGCTTGAGGGAAGGTCTGAAAGTTGTTGTTCCGATTGATTTCCGTGGTATCATTCAGGGCGATTTTGCCAAACACCTAGCAGAGGAAGAAGGAGTCTGTGACAAGGTTGGTTAGGCCCCCAGTTTCCATCTACAATCCAGAGATGTTACTTGGCTTATCAAAAGTGATCTTAGAGTGAGATGATTTTCACACTGACAGGCTAGACAAATTCCCCGTGATACCTAGGCTACCAAGCAACATTCCTGGGGATAACAAGCCACAACTACTCTCTCTCACCTATCCCCAATTTCCCCCAACTAATTATTTTCCCCTACCCTGCCATCTAAGTGCCTAATTGATCTCTGAAGGATCTTGACTTGGCTTCTGTGCCTAAGATGTTCTGCTGTTAGGCAGCATCAGAATCAGACCTATGACTAGCAATTCTATGCTTGGGACAAACACCACCAAAAAATCTATTATTTTCCTATTTTAATTATTCTTGCTAACTAAATGCTAAGCTCAGCTATTTCAACCTGCTTCAGGACTACAAGTACTACTGCCCCTACAGAATGTCAGCCCCTTGAGGGCAGGGACTGTGAATTTTGTCTTTGTATCCCCAGCACTTAGTAGTACAAAGGCTTGTACATAGTATACACTTAATGTTCGTTGACTCCAACCATTGTCAGTGCTTTTAAAATTCTGTATCTTGGGACAAAGCCCTGGTTGGCCTGCCCATAGGTCTGGTCAGAATGACTGGCCCTCAGGTCTCCTGCCTAACAAATGTCTTTCAATTTTAGTTCTTGAAACATGGAATTACCTGAAATTTGGAAAATGTGGAAAAGGTTTAATAGGGACCCAAGGTTTGGGCAAGTTTGACTTATCTTTTAGTGATTCACTTTTGAGTTTTCTAGCTGTACTTAACATTTCATTTTTATATTCTACGTTTTAACTTAGTGGTTTGCACATAGTAAGCATTTGTTTGTTGAATTGATTCAAATCCCTGAAACAGCCAGCATTTATGGGGTCCATGAAGGCTGTGAGAAGGAATTATTTTCTTCTTTGAGCATCTCTGAGATTAGAGACCAGAGGAATCTGTTGGATCTACTCACAGCATGCTATAAGTCAGTACTCTGGGCTGGGCCTAGCTTGCTCCTTCAATTTTCCTTTAGGAAACAGGCCCCTAAGCTCTACAAGCCTAGTTCAGATAACAACCCTTTTTTGTGCAAAACAAAACCCACCCAACTTTGTCCAAGTCGAAGCTTTGGTGTGTGGAGGAAAAGGCCACCCCAATGACTTGAAGGGTCGTTGTTGGGTCTTTAAGTTGCTGCTGTAATTTTTTTTTTTTTTGCCATTTGACTACCACAGAGATCCCTTTCTTCATGTTGGGAGAGGGTTGTCCAGCTTCTTTTAATTTGATAAGGTTATAAAGGTCACACTGTGGCTGCAGAATCAGGGAATGTTTCCACACATCCGAAAAGAAATCATTATCTTCCCCTTTAAATCCACCACTACCAAGTGGCCTTTAAGGCCACTGCTGTCTTTCTAGTTACCCAGGTTTACAACCTAAAAGACATTTTTATCTCTTCTCTATATCCAATCCATTGCCTATTTTATTTATTACTATCACAATACCTCTTGCATCTGTTTGTTCTCCATTCACATAATCACTATTTTTTTGGGGGGGTTAGGCAATGGGGTTAAGTGACTTGCCCAGGGTCACACAGCTAGTGTTATGTGTCTGAGGCTAGATTTGAACTCAGGTCCTCCTGAATCCAGCGCCAGTGCTGTATCCACTGCATCACCTAGCTGCTCCCACATAATCACTGTTTTTGTTCAGGCCTTCTTTCTCTTCCTCTCTCTCTTGGGCAACTTAGCCTTTCTGTTTCTGGTCTTCTCTCTTCTATCTGTTCTCTTATAGAGCTGCCAAAATAATCTTCCTAAAGCACAGGTTTGACTATGTCCATTCCCTGCTCAAAAAGTTTTGGTGGGGTCCTATTTCCTCCAGCATAAAATACGAATCACTTGGCCTGCCATTAAAAGCCTTCCACAATTTGGCTTATTTTACATTATGGCCTCTCGCATGCTCTGTGTTCCAGCCAAGCTGAAATACTAGTCATTCTCCAAGTTTCTATCACTTTTGTGTACTTACATTGTCACCCCCCTATTCATGGAATACATTGCTCCATCTCCTTCATTTCTTAGAAGTCTTAGTTTCCTTCAAGGGTCAGGTCAGGTTCTAAAAATTTTTCTTATCTCTTCCTAACCCCAAACTATTTATTAGCGTGCTATTCCTTTTCAACTTACGTTGTGTTTCTTTATCTTTTAATGAGTCGTATCTTTCACATCTTGAAGTAGAATATAAGCCCCTCCAGGATATCTCTGTTGGTTCTCACAGTGCCATCCACAGATCAGGCACTTAGTAAATGTTGAAATGAATTTCAGGCATTGATTAGCAAAAGGATATATGCCCTTTTAACACATCCTTGGGGATGCAGCCCCCCCCAAAAGGGTCTATCACAGAATTTGGCAATAATTCTCACTGATAATAGCAGAAAAAAGTTTTGGAATCACAAGAAAATTGCCTAAGAGATCTCATCGTATCTAAGGTTTGTTTGCACATAATACATACTTACTAAACATTTGTGGAATTTATTTGTGTCTATTTGGTCATCCACCCATGTTGAAAACAGTGATTAGATCTGGCATGGAGAATTCTATTTTGCACTCCAAGGAGAAAAAAATTGGAGAGGGGAAGAGAGAGAGGAGGAGGAAGAATAGAGAGGCAGGAGAGGTAGAGAGGGAATGAAATGAAGAGAGAAAGAAGGAAAGGGAAGGAGAGAGGGGTCTGTGTGTGGGGAGCAACCAGAGGCATGTGAATTCTTGATGTATCTCCTACCTGCATTCCAATGACAGCATAGATGAAGAACAGCATCACTATCAGAAGAGCCACATAGGGTAGAGCCTGGAAGAAAATGAATAAGACTGCTGTACTGAAGCCTTTCATGAGAAAACTGGCCCACTGCATACTGCCCCACTCCCAGGAAGGTGCATTCTGCACAGACAGCCAATGCTGGATACAAGATGTGGTACAAGATTCCGCCCATGAGACCAAGGATCTGGTGGACCTCCTGACCTAGCCCTATGGTACAAGGTACCACCTATCATAACAATGACTTGGTGGACCTCTAGGGAGGGAAGCCAAAAAGGTAGATCTCAGCAGGGTGAGCTAGATAGTATCGTTGGACTAGATAGTATCTGGAGTCTTTTTTAATTCTGAGAACTCTAAGAGATGAGCTAGTGGAATTCTAAACCCCAGCTTGTTTTTAATCACTTGCTGGGCAGTCTGTGACTGGATCTCTGCAGGCCTCAGTCCCTTCTCTGGAAGACAGAGAACAAGTAATGTGCCTTGTGCTGGAGAAAAGCCAGCACAAAACACAACACAAAACAAAAACACTTTCTCTGAAAGTGTTAGCTATCCGTTCTCACAACCACTAGATGTCACTGCAGATCCACACTGAGTAAGCTCCAGGCTCAATCTCCAAGTCCCGCCCCTCCCCCTTTACCTGGAGGAAGTACCTTCTCAACTGACCCCAGGTTGGGTTTTGTCCCCTTCCACTAACTCTACCCAGAGATGCTGGGTCTTTAGGTCCCACAGCTCAGGATTGAGCCCAGAGGCCACACTCAGCCTTTAGCCTTCGTTCTAGCTGGCTTAGGAATATAAGACCTCTGTGACTTTCGTGAAATGTATTTAATTTCTCTGGACATCATAGGGCCATAGACTGGCAGCTATAAGAGACCACGGAGATCATTTAACAATTATGTTGAGTGGATAACATTCAATGATTACACTATTTTAGGTATTGAAACTAGCAGCAGCTAGAAAAAATGGAAACATACTCTTCCTCTGGTCCCAAGCCTTGACACCTGAGAGACGCTTGTTTCTCACTCCCAGCACAGGGACTGTCTGATGGTGGTGAAAGGATACTGCTTTACCAGACCTGGAGGCTAGAGCCTGGAGCCTGGAGTAGCTAATAGTAAGGGGTAAAGCTAGCCAGAAGCAGCTAGCACCCATCAGGTCTTTGATATTTGTATCTGATGATGATTTTAAGATTTTATATTATGTATATTTGTTAGAAGGATGTTGTTTTGACTATGCATATTTGTTATTAGGTTAAAACAAATGATTAACAATTGAAAAAACCTAAAGAATTTTTAAAAATCAGGTTTAGAATTTAGACAACTTTGGTCCAGTGCTGGTTTATGTCTCTTAGCTTTGACTCTGGATCAAGGTAGGTCCTTTCTGCTGCAATGGCTTTTGCTCAGGGTTAGAAATAGATTCTGGGTCCTACCACCTTTTCTCCAATGATAGAGTCCAGTTCTGAGGACAAAGAAGGCCATATTTTAGTGTTGTTGAGTTCCCTTGATTTGAGATGCCTGAGAGTGGTGCTGAAGGTCTAGGATAAAAGTCTTCCCACCCTCTGCTACATCGTCAGGGCTTCTCTGCAGATGGAGGCCAGACAACTATAGTTGGGGTTTCTATACCACATATGTTCAAGAAATTCAAAGTACTTAACAGAAGGATGGTGGGTTTTTTTAACCTTCATATTTATAACCTTATTTATACCCACATCCTCTTTTTATAAATATTCTCCCTCTTTTTGTAAATGGGGGAAATTATGGCAGGTAATTAAAGGAAGAATTACCTTGCCATACTTTAGTTGAAGAACCCAAGCAATCCTGTACCTACTAGGTCAAATGGTGCCCATCCTTCTCTATCAGGATGATATCAGAACTCCTCTCTCTTCCTTGACAGCATTTAATGAATTGGATGAATAGGTACATATGCTGAAATACATTCATCTCTGAAGAGGAAGACGACAACTACTTAACAGACATTTCAAATATGCAAGGTATGCTTTATTTAGGGGAAAGTAAATTTCAATGAAATATCTCACAATATCTGTCCTCAATCAGGTAAGAAAATCTTTCCTTAAGAGGTTAACATTGTTTTTAAGCTTTTACTGGAAGAAGAGAAAGAGTGGGAATACCTGAAAAGATTTGATGAAAGTCCAGAGCAGGGTTCGGATGCCCTCCCCACGGCTCAGCAACTTGACAAGACGCATAACCCGGAAGAGACGAAAGAAGGTGATGGAGATTCGGGAGTTCTCCTCTGCATTCTGGAATCCATTGGTAACATGAGGTAGTAGTTAACATAGCCAGAGAGAGAAGGGGTGGGGATGGAGGGTAGGAGCCCTGCTCCAAGAAAGCAGTGCCTGGTTGAGGCAGGTAAGGGTGGGGTGGGGTTAGCTGCACTGTTTCTTTCTTTGGCTTCCCTTTCCTATTCCCAGAACCTGTCCTCAGGTTGTACAGACTGCTCTCCAGTGAGTCTCCACGCTCAGTCCTTCCCTTGGTCCATGCATGCTACCTGACAAACCAAGATCAAGTTGTCTCTAGGCAGAGTTTTTGAACCATGCCTAGGTATTCCTGAGTGTATGTCCCCTGGTGTCAGGACTTTATTTCTGAATACTGCCTCTCTCACCTTCTCACTTAATCTCCTCTCTTAATCCGTCCTTCAGTCTCAAATTTTGGGGTAGCTGAAAGTCACTTTAGTGACTGAAGAAAGTTCAGAAGAAATTACCACAATGAAAGGCTCTTGTATCTAGGACTAGTCCCTGAACCCCACTGGCACATTGTACTTCACTATAGCTCTGAAATCCTTGATACAGCATTATACCTCCCTTAATCTGGCACTGCCAAGGGGCTCTGAGGCTTGAGTGGGCATTGTCTTTGGATCGGGACTTTTTTCATAAAGAACTGGCATTCTTACCTTCTGCTGCTGACATTGGCTCTCTCCTGACCAAGACGTCTGGGTGGATCTGTGGATCTAGGGGGCTTATATCCTATGATTCAAATTCAATAGAACTGGAAGAGGTAAGGATTATGGGCAAGGAATGCCCATAATGGGTAGGGTCTTACTGCCCTTTAAACTAATTGTCTAGTCTCTGAAGAGGAAGACTACAGTATTGTTCAGTATTGTTCCAGGCTCTCCAGCATGTCCTCTGGCTGTAGAGGCACTAACACTTCTCACAACCTGGTCCTCTTCAAAAATGAAGGATGAACAACAACTCCACGGCCTTTACTCAAAACCTGGTGTAGAGATAGCGGCCCCCCCCCCCCATATATGATCTATCTATCCTTTACCTTACTGTTTACCATTTCCCTTCTTTCCTTTGGCCAGGGACCTGTATCTGACTCTGACACTTTCTAAAGGGAGCCACTATTGCACTTGGTGGGCTGATCAGCTTCATTTTATCTGAAGAGAGATGTTCTGCCTTGGGGAACACCATCTTTCTAAAGAGTATCCTTGGGGGGCTCTATTTATGTTTTTGGTAGCTATGAAGGAAGAGATGGGCAAATAAGACTAAAATAGGGTTTGTAGCTCCAATGTGAGCTGAAGGATGGACTTTCAGTTTTGTTTGCCCCAGGACCTCGGACGACTATTGCTCAGGAAAGTAAGGTGTGATGTTCTTTTCTCATTCTCTGCTTCTGGAACTGACTCTCTTCCATCTATCCAGTTTGGTTGCTCTGCTCAGGTGAAAAGTATCTCAAAGAAGGGTGTGTATATCTGTCCTTACTCCTTTCCACCCCAAACTAGTGCAGCTCACCCAACCCCTGCCACTGCCCCTCCTGCTGTCACGACCAGGAGAGAACAGACTCATTAGATTTCCTGTTGTTGCTTCCAATCCCACATCTCTTCACACCTCCCACAAAATAGGAAAACTCATCAGTCCAAGGGCAGCTGTATTTGTCTTACTGTTGACCTCACCAACATACCATTTCCCCTGGTTGTTTTGCAGAAGATATTAACTACTTCCTAGCAAATTACTCCTTAGCTGTGTGCAAGCTTCACATATATGCACTGAAATGCACTTAAGACTTTACAGGCAATATTTGTCCAACTTTGTGGTGTGCTGACCAGCAATAACTTGGAGGCATAGGTGCCTCCATATATGGAGGATAGAAACTTTACTTGTATCTAACCCTCACTCTTATTCAAAATGGGACAAAGGACCCGATAAAAGGCTAATAAAAGAATTGGAGACACAACGTAATGGTGTTTATGCTCTTCTCTGGAGAGGATCATATCTTAACCATCTCAGTAAATGGATGTCTGTTCTACTTCCCAAACCCTTCAGGAAAAGACACTTCTTCCACCCAATTATTCTGCCCACTCCAGCAGACAAGAAGTTTAGAAACCACCATCTCTTCTTCTGGCATTTTGGTTCCTTCCAATTCGAACAGTCTGGGTGTCTCTGGTGGACTGCAGAAAGCACTGGTGGGTGATGGTAGGCAACCAATCTTTCTTATATCCCTAGGTCTCTAGCCTGTATATTTTGAAGTCCTTGATGTCTATAATCTCTATCACCTGTGTATCTGCTTGAAATTCAATATTCTTTTCTTAAAAAGAGGTTGCCTTTCCCCAGAGGCATTTGAAGAGAAAACTTAAGATTTTGTAGGTTGGTTGTCAGTTTCACCATGTTCAGGAGGGAAGGAAAAATGTAAAGAGAATAATCCTGAGTTGGAAGTCCAGCTGTGAGTGTCAAGAGTTTGAAGAGTTGATGCCACTGGGGCATCTCATTCTGATGACTTTAAAAAAACAAACCAGAATGAACTCTATTCTATTTTTCAGCACTCTCCCTGTTGGCTATAATTTGCTAATGCTGCTCAGTTTGTAAGATAAACACATTTCTTCTTGGGCCATTATAATTTCTTCTAATAAAATGAATTATGCTGTAATAGGCTTCAAAGACCGATCACTGTGCCAAGGGCTAGAAAAACCCAAAGCACAGGTTCTGTCATAGGCATAGGACCCAGGATGGACTATACTGGAGAACTGTTCAGTTGAATTGATTAATCCTAATGAGTCCCTAATGTGTCTTACCTTTAGATGCTCAGTAGCCTAGCGTATTAGGCTAGAACAGGGAATTGGCGTGGCCTTTTCAAAGTGTGTTTATCTGCAAACATTACAGGGAGGGAATTCCTCAGATAAACACAAAGATTAATAACAGGTCTCATGACTTGTTTTTTCCCTAGGGGGAAAATGATAGGATCCTCAGGTAAGTAGCCTCCCCTCTGCTCCCTTACCCCAGCATGATCTAATCCACCATTCTCATGCCTCCAGGGTACGGGAGAGAGATTTAGCCTAGTCTTAAAGAAGCCAGAGAAAAGTCTGAATTTCCCTTGGTAATTAATCCTAGCTTAAGAAGTTCCTTTTCCTCCCTGGATCCTTAAGGGAAAATGGAAACCAACTAATTGCTTTGAGTAATTTATTGGATCTTTGACTTAATAGTCTCTGATGCAGATTGCAATCCCTCCACGTTTTCTTAGTGTAACTCTTATCTGTTTTTTCTCTCTCATAAATTCTGCATAGAAGAGTAGTCTACCATCTTGGAGGCCTTCTTGTTCTAACATCTTAAAGGAGTCCAATATGCCACTTAGTTGGACATATATTGTCTTTCAGTCTTGCTCCTTAGAAGAGAAGGTAGGCAAATAAGTACCTTAGCCCCTAATATGTTTAAAATAATTTTTTCTTCAGCTTTCTTGACCAGCTGGATTAGCAACATTATTCCCTCCATTTGGGATCAAAGTTAGATAGCATAGCTAATTGAGTTACTAATGTATCTAACAGGAAATGGTCTCTGGGTCTTATTCTCTCCTAGTAGCTCATTAGAAAGGCAGGACAAAAAGGAAGCTTCACCCAAAGGAAAGCTCATGACATATGAAGGTAAAAACACCACCACACAGCATATTCACAGCTCATGTGACACCAGGCAGGTATGGAAACATGGCACAGTGGGTTCATGCAGAGGGAACTCGGGGCTCAGAGAGATTCTTGTGACTGGGGTGGACAACAGAGTGAGAAGTGTGTTAGGAGTGTCACAGAAGCTGGGAGCGTGGTCTGTATGTTTGGTCTTACCATAGAGGGAGAGCATTGGGTATGTTCAGCTGGCTTTAAAGGAAGGCAGACAGAGATAAGCTGTAATAAGTCTCCAGTGAAGAGGCCCTAGTATTCTAGGTCTTGGCTAACACAGGAGCAACACTGTGGCAGAAGAGGGCAAAAGGAAGCAAGTGGCAAAAACAAAAAACCAAAAAAGAAAAAACAAAACAAAAAAAACAAAACAAAACAAAACACGAAAGAGTAGGCCTGTCAGGTTCCAAGTTGTCCCAGGAATTTTAAGTTGTCTGGGTATGGCTATCATTTTAGAACTCTCTTTTACTCCCCCTCAGGCAAGCATTAGGAAGAACTTCCTTTACCCCAAGACTCTGTCTAGCCACTAATTAAGGATTAGATAAACTGACTGGTCTCCTGCCCAGCCTATCTTAGATGTGTAAATCATGTTATCTTCTTGTGATTCCCAATTCAATACTTGACAGCTTGGGCTATGGAGCTGTCAACACTCTCTGGGGAAACCAGTTGAGGAAAGCTTTGCTTACACTTTATCCTCATCTTCTCCCACTTCTCTTTAGGCAAAGAAGCATCAACACTGGGCAATGGACATCTGGGTCTTGAGGAGGGCTGAGATCTATTGATTCTTGTGGAATCTGAGGAAAGAAGCCCCCTCCTATACCTTCAAGAATGCTGATCTCCAGAACTTAGTCTTTATGCAACATGGCTGATATCTTTTCTAGGCAATAACCCTCCTCAGTTACTAGAATTTAGGTCCACATCTGCACGGTTCCTCTGGACACTCCTTAAAAGCCATTCTCTGGGGTTTGACTGCTGGATTCATTTGACAATAGAGGACCCAGTAAATTGGTCTATAGGTATGTCTCCTGTGCTAATATCTTCCCATGATGTTTTGGTGCTTACTTTGGAGAAAGAGATTATCAGGTGCCCCCACTCTATGGATCTGAAATTAACTGTGATAGGCTTCCTATGGAGGCCACTTCTAGGAGATCTGAATTGTTGATCCATAGCTACATTTTTTTGTTTTTACCTTCCTCTTTCAGATGGTTGCTCTTGTGTTTTTGTTTTTAATGTACAAAGAAAGAAAACATGGGATGGAATTTCTATACAATGAAAATGTGCCCAGCTAGACATTTTTTTTAAAGCTGAAAACAAAATTCTCTGTTATCAGGTTTCTCAACTGATTTTTCATTTTCTTTCCATAGCTTGGTTTTGTTTGTTTGTTTGTATTTGCAAGGGTGGGGTGGCAGTAGGTCAAGGGAAGGAAAGGAGACAGAGGAGATGCAGGCCATTTAGAAAACACAGTTTGGACTTTGGGCTTCTGCTTCACAATCATGATTGGCTGCCAAGGTGATTTCTGGTTGATCCATTTTCCCTGGTTTGTCTGGAATCACTGGTATTTGGCCAGTAAGCTAAAGCATAGCCCCAAAAGACACACAGACACACAAACAGACAGACACACAGACACTGACACAGACACACACACACACACACACACACACACACCAGAAAGGACATTTTATTATGGATCTTAATAATGTATGAAGAAAATCTTTTGCAATGATTTCCAGTGCCAAACAAGTGATGGCGAGACTCTGATGACTCCCAGAGTGACTTAGTGTTGCCAAAGGAGCAGGGTATGTGTAGCTCTTCTATAATAACCAGGATGAGCATTAAGAGCAAAGTTCCCTGTTCCCTGCTACAGAGGAGTAAGATTCAGTAAACAAGATGCAGCCCCCTCATCCCGACTAACAACATAAGATCATTGATTAAAGCTGGAAGAGACCTTAGAGGCAGGCTGTCCAGTCCAGTTACTTAGGGAAGGCCTTTGGCCTTCACTTGGCTCCATCCAGTGGTGTGGAGCACAAAAACAAGCAGGTTACTCTAAGTCCTGGTTATCCTCTGAGTTATCCCCTTCTGCAATATGATCCAAATGGAGACTAGCTTAAAAACCTGCTAAAGTCATTTAGCAAAGTCATCAAATCAAAAAACCCTTATTGGCAACCTAAAATGTGTGTGATATTGAGCTAGGCATTTGATGCTTGTCTTCTAGGAAATTCCCATCTAGTTCATACATTGGTTGATCCCAAAAGGTACTTCCTGGATACTCTCCTTGTTCCTCAATTCTTGCCTGGCAGCAAATGACATTCATTGGTTATGGGAAAGATAGAATTGGGTTTCATCATATCTACCGATGGCAACTTTTTAGGTTAGCATCTTGGGAAACCATCTGCCAACAGTTTGCTGCTAGTCTGAAGAAGCTGAAATTCATTCATTCATTCTTTCATTAATTCATTCTTTATGGGTCCATTCTGGAAACACTGAAACCTAGAAGGAATGTGTACATAATAAGTTTCCTTAAAGCCTCCTATTATGGAATTCCTGGGCCCAGGGACTTTTTAAGCCTTTCCCTTCTAATGGGAACCTTAAGTGCTAACTCTCTCAGCCTACTTAAAATGACCAGGTTTTAATGGAGTAATGCCTCCATGAACATTATCCACAGGGTGAATTACTGAGCAGTCATTCCCTCACATCTCTTTCTTAACCAGACTGCAATTTTCTGGGGCTGTGAAATACTACAGTGGCTAACCCCATTTGTAGATGCAAATGGTGTGACTAAGAACAGGTTATTATCACTCTGTATCTAAGAGACAGAAAGGGGAAGTTTTCAGAGACTCCTAGAGACAAGTTCCAGCAGCAGGTTGAGCAAATTTAAAAAAAAGTAAATTACTGTACTTCAATTTATTTATGCAAATCACCCTCATTTGGCATAACTACAAATTGCAATATGGACAGCAGTGGAGAGTTAATAAATGATCCATTTCCCCCCTAATGGCTAAGAGTTCCTTTTGTTCCTTGTTTTTAAGTTCCAGGGAGAAAATGTAGAGATTGTGAAGCATGCCTTAGAAGATGAAATCTCTTCTAGGATTGTGTTTCAGGGACTGTGTGTTTTCTAAACTTTGTATCAGCTCCAGTACCTAGCCCAGAGCTCTGTACATAATGGATGCTTAAGAAGTGTCTGTGGTTATTATTACTGTTGTTTCCTTACGTTTCTCAGTGCTACGTATTTGGGATCCCAAGGGATGGGGTCCCAGATGTCAAAAGGCAAATGAAGCAAAATTCCAATTAGGATAGGCATAGAGAGAGGATGGCTGTGTAGCTGTCAACTGCTGCGACAGGTTTCCTAATCATTGCATTTTCCTCCTGGAGTTAAAAAAAAAAGTATATCATAGCTATTGGGGAATGGAGCCTTTATTAGTTGTACAAGACCTAGTAGGGTTGTGGGATGAGAGTTACCAGGGTTACATGGTCTCCAGGCACGATAGGTCTATATGACCAATGACTGCCACTAACTAGTCAGGTGGTTCTGGACAAGTCACCCTAGCAACTTTTTCATACGTAAAGTGAAGGGTTAGACTAGATCTGGTTGGGGAACCTGTGACTTTGAGGCCCTCTGAGTGAATCCAAACTTCATACAACAGATCCCCTTAATGGAAGGATTTGTTCTGTGAAACTTGGACTCAGTTAAAAGGCCATACCCCAGGACTAGGCTCAAAGCTGCAGATTCCCTACCCCTGGAAGGTTCTTTCCAGCTCCAAGACTTTCTCTGTCAAGGAATCCTCTTGGGATCCACTAACCCTCAAGAGGTCTGTTGATAGATTTTAGGGGAGTCTTGAAACTTGGATGAAAAAAAATGACATCTTTATTTTTACCGACTTCTAATGAAATTTAGTAGTGCCTTCAATTAGGAATGCAGGCAACAGGTATGATTCTGAGTAGGAGTCCACGGTCCTCACCAAACTGTCAAAGGGGTCTATGACACAAAAAAGCTTAATAACCCATGGTCCACATCTGAATTGGGTCCTCAAACAAATCTTGATGTCTCTAGGATTTCTTGGGAACTGTAAGTCACTGCTGCCTTCTTCCCCTGTCTGGAAAAGGGTGAAGAACACAGATGACCTAAGGAGTACCTGGCAAGTTCTGAGTACATCTGGGGGAAGTCTGACACGTTTGGGCAATCTTTACATGTTTGAAGGACGATTATATGTAAGAGGGATTCAACTTGTTCTCATTGGCTTTAAAGGTTAGAGCTAGGAGTATGGGGTAGAAGTTGCAGAAAGTTTTTTTCTTAGATTTCAGGTCATGAAAAATATATCTATGATTAGAACTGTCCAAAAGTGAAAATGAGTGGCTAGGAAGCAGTGACATCCCCCATCCCCAGTGGAGGTCTTCAAGCATAGGCTGGAGATGTAGAAAAAATTCCTATAAAGGTGGGCTAGATGATCTTTGAGGTTTCTTCTAGCTGTTGAATTCTGTGACCCTGCTGGCCCACAGTGACAAAGGGCAGAATGAGGTCTGGATAGTCTTTGAGATTCCGAGCCACCAGTAAAAGAATACAGACTCCTCTGGAAAAGCATAATAAAAAGAGAAGTACAGCTGTAGATAGCCTCTCACTTGTCCCCTAACTGAACTCTCTGGGTTACTTTGTGGACCATCAATTTTGTCAGGCCCCAATGGCGTTCTGGAAGTGAATCCATGTTATTTTAAGGTCTTGTTCCAGCTCCCTCTGGCCCTTCCCTCTTTGCTGCCACTGGACTGCTTCTAACCTTGCCTAATCAGCATGAGAGATTAAGGTATATATGGGTGTACTGGAAGGGAAGGGTGTCTGATGTTGTCGGAGACAGACCAAAACTAATCCCGGTTTGGAGACATGGGAAGAGAGGGAGAAGGCCAGCAGAAACTAATGGGACCAGAGGACTTAAGATATACTTGGCACCAAATTTTAATAGCCAGCATGTAAACATAAGCAGCAATCATCAATAAGGAAGAAGACACTTAAGAACTGGGACATCAGGATCGCTAAGCCCAGAGAACTAGAAAAAAAAGTCAAACGTTCTCCAAATTGTGAAGTATATGGAGACAAAGCAAAGTGCTTTTAGGATAGACATTTTGATTCTGGTTGTGGAATGAGGAGATGGAGAAATGATCAGAGGTCAGGAGTGAGAAGAAAAGAAAGAGAGAAAAGGGAATAGAAGGGAAGG